TGATTTTGGATGGAATCCTGGCTTACGGCTTTTTCTTTTCCACTTAGCCAGAACTGATGCAGGCTTTCTTCCTTCCCCATTTTGATTGCTGTGACCTTTTCCTCCCTGATTTCTGTGGAATCAAGGCCATCTGTTTGAGTTCTGCATCTTCCCTCCTCATTGGCACCGTTCCACACAACACTTTTTGAAGCCTTTCATTAGCTCCTCCTCTTTCAAAGTGTCAGTTCAAAGCATCATGCCAAGGGTAATGATGCCCCCCCACTCTACCAGGCAGATGGTACCATGTTGAAACACACTGCCACCCTCCAAATCGTGAAGCTAGTTATCTTGGATATATTACATGTGAGTGTGACTTGCACAGGTGGGAGAATTGTGCCACACACACACACAGCAGTATAGTGTGTTTCAGCACAGGACTGCGTGGTGCAGGAAATTGGCAGCATATAGACATGCCTAACATGCCCTCTGACCCCAGCACTCTTTCCTGCCTAGGCAGGGGACTGGACTCGATGACCTGTTGAGTTCCCTTCCAACCCTAGCATCTATGAATCTATGCTAAGGTCAAAGTGTTTGCTGCTTAATGTCCAATTTTACTGGCTTAAGACCTGATTATCCAGAGTCCTTAATAGTATTTTGCACTTTATATGGTTGCAATTTCCTGAACCAGCCTCCTAGTAAGAAAGTTTTTCCTAATGTTCAACCTAAACTTCCCTTGCTGCATCTTGAGACGTTTGCTCCTTGTTCTGTTGTCTGCCACCACTGAGAACAGTCTAGCTCCATCTTCTTTGGAATCCTGCTTCACATAGTTAAAAGCTGCTATCAAAATCCCCTCCTCAGTCTTCTCTTCTCTAGACTAAATAAGCTCAGTTCCCCCAGCCCCTCCTCAGAAGACATGTGCCCTAGCCCCCTAATCCTTTTTCGTCACCCTCCGCTGGACTCCCTCCAACTTGTCCACATCCTTTCTGTAGTGAGGGACCAAAAACTGGACACTACTCCAGATGTGGAGTCACCAGCGAACCATAGAGGGGAATAATTACTTCCGTCTTATCTGCTGGCCATGCTCCTTTTAATGCAGACCAGCATGCTGTCGGCCTTCTTGGTGGCAAGCACACACTGTTGACTCGTATCCAGCTTGTTGTCCACTGTAACCCCCATGTCCTTTTCTACAGAGCTGCTGCTTAGCCAGTTGGTCCCAAGCCTATAGTGGTGCTTGGGATTCTTCTGTTGTAAGTGCAGGACTTTGCACTTGTCCTTGTTGAACCTCATGAGATTTCTTTTGGCCTAATCCTCCAATTTATTTAGGGTTGCTCTGAAATGACTTTGCTAAATGCTGTTTTGTACACCTGTGTGATCTTATTGCTAACAGATTGATCTTTTGCCATGAATTGCCTACTAAGAGATTTAATGCTGTATTCATTCTTTTGAGATAATGGTCAATATTTCTGACACCTTTCCAGATTATTATGTCTTTATGAAGTCAAAGTGTGGACTCAAATGTGTGTTTCTTTCTCCTTCCTTCTCTTTCCATCCTAGGAGTTTTTAATATTGGTTTTCAGTAGCAGTATTAACACGTTTAGTGTAACTTTGGATATTGCTACAGTTAGGACTTAAGCTTCCTATGAAATGGTTCGAGACCAGTGAGCAGCATTTTCAGGTGCTCATTTTAAAACTGTGTAATGTGATTGGTGTCATTGGTTAACAGTAGTTATTGCTAGGTTGCAGTATTATTCAGTTGCATTTTATGTGGGTTTTTTCTTTGTCCTAGTATTTCAAAGCTGTGTTGTAGTTGTTTTAAAAATGATTTCTTGTTTTACTGTCACTTTTCTTTCACAGCAAAAGGAAAACTAGATAATTGGCCATTATACAAAGTGTCAGAATTATCAGAGTTAGGGTATGTACAGTAAACCTCTCTGCCTTATAAGGGAAAAAAACATTGTAGAGTTCCTTATTCTTCATATTTGGTCCTCTGCCTTTCCCAGACAAGTTAGGTAGACTCAAAATGTATGTAATTTGCTCTCCCAGCCTTTAAAGCTGTTTGTTCAACCTTTTTGATTTAATCAGCTTCTTTTGTATTTTCTTCTTTCTTTAGACATCAGAGCAAGAAACAAAGGGTCTTCCAAGCAAAAAGGGAATTGTGCAATCCATAGTAGGTCAGGGCTATCACCGTAAAATAGTCCTAGCATCCCAGTCCATACAGAATGTTGTTTATAAGTAAGTATATTTTCTGTACCCTTTCTTCCATTCTGCAACTCAATTATACGTGTAGGGCTGTTCACCAGGAAGCTTTTTAAATGAATGCATGCTCAAGCATGAGTAACCTTACTTAAATGTGTTCCTGTTGATTGATACAAGATTATGTAGGTGGTTAAAGTTACTTTGTGTTGAAATGTTTTTAGAAGCCTGGGGTCCCAGTCTCTTTTGTTAGTGTAATGGCCAGCAGAGGGCCTGCTTGTATGTTTAATGAAGCTGAAGTTTTAACTGGCTGTAACTCCATCTCTACAATTCATGTTTTCCAGTTAGTTGTATCCATTAATTTGTTTTACAAGAAGGGAAATGCTTGCCAATAAACTGTTCTAGAAAGTAGTCTGGAAGAAGGAGCAAACCAGTAAGTTTTCTCTAAAGCTTTAGGACTTGTTAGTTATATTGTCTTCTCTTGTAAGAGCCATAATATTTCATGAAGTGATATGATAAATAAATTGTTTGTATTTCTCAAGTGCTGGAATTTATTGGCCACAGTATCATGTATACATGGTCTTATTCTTGCATGTCTTGCCTTTCTGTACAAGCAGCAATGCTTGAATCCAGCTCTGTATGAAGAAGTGCTACAAGTATTCTGTTAGAGGAAAACAATTTGTTCACATTTTGTTTTTTAAACGAGTAGGACTCTTATGCCTGAAGTGCTCCCAGGATCAAGCTCTGAAGTAGAATGTGAAGGATTTTGTTGTCTGCAAAAAAGGAAGGTTTATGCTTAAGCTTAATTCTGCACTGGTTTCATAGGATAAAGTTCTTGTGTGGTTTTTCTGAATGTGCTTTTTAGAGCTCTTTGTGTCTTAATATTTACCTGTTAATTTCCATCCTTTTAAGTGATGGCCAGTCCTCAGCTATCCCCGTAGCCAGCATGGAGTTTGCAGCCATTTGTCTAAGAAATGCCTTGCTGTTGCTGCCCGAAGATCAGCAGGAGTCAAAGCAGGAAAATGGATCTAAAACTAGTAACCAGTTGGGGGGGAATGCAGAGAACAGTGAAAGCAGTGAAGCATGCAGGTAAACAATAGATGTTTTAGTTGCATCTCAAACTCTTCTGTCCGCCACACGTGTAATTGACATTCTGTGCCTGCTGGCTAGCCTGTATGATGTGCTGAAAAATGGGAGTGCAAAATTTGAATCTCAAAAGTGCACTGAGGTCTCCATGAAATATATATACAGTTAGAGCAGTAGTAGTTTTTAGTATTTGTAAGCAAACTTGAGGAGAAAAAATTGATGACTGGAATTTCACCAGTATATGGAAGGGAATAAAACCTAAACAATGAAATCATCCATTTTACAGTTGTTTTCACTGTACACTCTTTATTTGCCTTCTGTGAATACTAAATACATGTTTTGTTTTCCCACACACCCTTGCAGTGCACAGTATATTGTATTTTTCTAATTCTAAGTGAACTCTCAATTGTTACAGTGACATAAGGTTTTTCCTCTCTAGTTGTGCTTTTTAGTTGATTCAGTGTGTATTTGTGTCTAACGAGTTATCTGTATTTGCTCAAATTGGTCATGTGTACAGCCCAAGAGTCTTCTTTAATGCTTTGCTTGTTTCCGAATTGGATAGAGATTACGTTAGTAGGTGTGAGAGAGAGAAACAGAGTTGCCATTTGCAAAAATAACATAAAATGACATATTTACAAAAAGAATTTTAGAACAAGCTCCATTGGCTTACCAAGTTTGTAATAACTTATAAAGCTGACTTTCTAGAACCAAAGTCAAGAGGACTTTGGTTCTCCCTCCCTCTCCCTCTTCCTACACACACTTTTTTGAACTTCCATAAAACATCTGGGATGTTACAGAAGTGTACTGACAACTGTGCAGCAAAACTTTCTTGGTTTCTGTGTGTACTGTCCTTACGCCATGAACCCCCTCCCTTTTCTGTAGCATAGTGAGGAGAAAAAAACTGTAAATCTAGCTCTCAAAGAAGGGCAGGTAGTTTTGGAATTTACAGTCCTTTTAACAAAATGTTAATAAAGTTGCATCTCTTAAATTCTATCCTACTTCAAATATATATTCTAAAAGTGTGGTAGACTTGTGTAGTAATTTAACTCTTAAGCTGTTTGCTTAAATGAAAGGTAGGGTGTTTAAATGAAACCTCCCACCTGTAGGGTTTTTTTTGCTTGCATTTAGGGAAGATGATAAAAAGAAATTACCCCCCTTGGTAATCCTCGATGATGACAATCCAACCATTATCATTTCGTTTATCAGGGTTTTTTTTCCCAGTATGGCCTTTTACCTTAATCGGAGTGAGGAAGAAAAAGTATGCACTGTACAAGAGGATTTCTTACTGTCTCAAGATCACAGGCTGTTACAGTTAATGTAATCACTGCCTTCCCTCCCAAGGGTCGCAGTTGACCACAGGATCCAATAACTAAAGCTGTTCCTGAACTTACGTTACTAAGTTTTCAAATGCTTCCTTTCTGTTCCTCCCAGCTGGGAACCTTCCTTGTTTGGAGGAGAAGGGACAAACAAAGAACTAAAAGTACAATTCACGTGGACTATGTATAACACAAAACTTATGCACAGCGAACTGTGGCATAGATTCCCTTTAGTGAAAAGTATGTGCGTTTGAATGTAGTGACACAGATTTTTGTTCTAGATTTTTTCATCAAGAAATCAGGCTAATAAGTTTCAACAGTAATAGGTACAGGTTTTCTCCTATTCTGTACTTGCTGGTTTTCATGTTTGCTTTCAGTGACCATGCCTCTAAGTATATTTATTACGTGGTGCTTGTGTTGAGTCAGGGGTGGGCAATTATTTTGGGCGGAGGCCTGCTTACTGAGTTTTGGCAAGCCATCGAGGGCCACATGACAGGCAGCCGGGGGCAGATAAATATTAATTTTCTTAATTTTTTTAGGGGCCCCATGGGCCAGATAGAATGGCCTGGCGGGCCACACTTTGCCCACTGCTGTGCTAAGTGGAGGTGAGGCAAAGCTCAGCTTGGGTGAAAAAATGCTTGGTGCTTGCTTTCAATTGAAAGATTTGGGCCTTTTCAAATGTTTTGCTTTTTGTGCAAAAATGCAATTGTAGACCTTCACCAGTTCAGAAAGAAACTGTTTTTTCCAACTTATAGTTGAATGCAGTTGTGTATTTGTCCATATGGAAAACGGTGCTTACTGCCAAAAATGGATGGGGGGAATGCAAGTTTTGAGACAGAAATCACTCTCATTGTCAAGTATCGATGCATATTTAAATCTTGTATTAGCACTTTACCAAAGGGAAAATGAATCTAAGCAAAACTGGACATTAGACTTTTGCAGTAGAGGTTTGTATGAAGAAATTAATGTTGTAGCGCTTCCTAGATGGGCCTTTTTACCAATTGGTAAAAAAGAATATGGCTTTGCCTTTTAGATTCATACCCCACTTGCACTACTGCTACCAATTTTAGTACTTCCATAAGTGAATTTAAAAAAACCCTTAAAGCTGTTGTAAGGTGTCACTGATGGGGATTTTCTTTCTTTGTGGATTGATGACAAGTTGTTACCTTTCCCCACCTCCGCTCTTCCCAAACAGTAGTGATAGAAGTTTTTGAAATATTGCCAGTCCTCCATTTTTTTTTTGCCCAAGCCTCAATTTCAACATACTGAATCCTTTTTCTTAACAAACTGGATTAGTGTCGATGTTAGTTTCAGTTAGTTTTATTTCTTTCTTGCTTGCTTTTTGTTCAAGTCTTGAAGATCACTGTTCATAATTAACAACTTGCTGTCTTCCTTTTAGCACTAAAAGTCATGAAGGAGATAAATTCATTCCAGCTCCACCTTCTTCACCTCTGAGGAAACAGGAGTTAGAAAATTTGAGGTAAGTTCTAACATTTTTAATAAAAGGAGCAACACTAAATAAAGACCTGACAGTAACTCCAGAATGTCAGACTATGCTTTTAAAGTTTTTTTTAAAAAAGATTATATGCTGCACCTGAAAGTGGCATCAAAGCTAGTACGCTTGGATTGAATAATCAGCAAATTACAAGGAGGTTACATAATATTAATCTAAGGAAGCTTTTGCTTTGCCTTCTTGTGTCTGTGTCTGTGCCATGGAACAGACACTGTCTATAAGCTAAGCGTAGAGCAAGGGTTGGCAGCATTTCAAAGGGCAGGCTGGCACTTGCAACCCAGCTGCCATCATAGGCCACCTAACCCCTTTGCAGCGCCCCAGCCTTCCCTGCTCTGTGCTGAGTGCTGGTTTTGTGGACTCTCCCAATGAAGCCTCTACTTACAGAGCACTGTTGAAAAGCATGGCCACTAGGGGTATGCAAAGTGGGCCCTATTCATTTCGGATTTGGACGGAATCAAGGACAGTGATTCGATTCATTGATTCGGATTGCCGTCCCCGATTCAATTTGGCTGAATCCAAATCTGAAGATTTGATGCTGCCTCAGAGAATTGCCGATTTGGACATAAACACAGCTTTAAAAAAATTTTCTACATACCTCTGGGTACCAGTGTGGTTTGTGAATCCTGCAGTTTTGGGGCACATGGAGCATGCCACAGGGGGGTGTGGGGGGAGTCTGCCGGGGAGCACATGGGGGTTCCCTCCAGCTCGGTGATCAGCTGCAGAGGGACCCCGGATGCCCCCCACCCCAGACCGAGGAGGTGCCAGTCACTGAGCCGGTAGGGTGCAGAGGGGGCAGTCTGTATGTTCCGCAGTGGACCAGAAGGGTTTCTGGTCCACTTCCAGGTCTGCTGTCAAGCCCACTGGGGAGCCCCCCGCGCTCCTGCAGGAAGCTCCATGTGCCCCAGCATCGCAGCTCTCATGAGCCTATTGCTACCTAGAAGTATGTAGAAAAAACATTTAAAGCTGCGTCTGGGTCCAAATCTTTCTGAATCGATTTGGAGGGTTTCGGTTCAATTTGGGGAGATTAAAGGGTCCTCTGATTTAAATTTGGATTTGGAAATTCGATCGCCAAATCTCTACCAAATCGAATTGGGGACCAAAGCTTCACACAACCCTAATGGCGACTACCAGTGGGGAGCAACTTATTTGGTAGTGAGAGTGAGAGGAGTTCTGCGTGGGCACAGAAACCAGTCCTCAGCAGCAGGCATCTTGAGAACAAGACTCCTTCAAGGGAGTGGTGCTGCTGAATTTCACTAGTTTCCCTGGCCTGCGCACATGGACTGGATAAGAAGTTTGCAAGATGTATGTTGCCAACTTCTGATGGTGGGTATAGGGAAGAAGACAGAATGAGTCTGCTTTCTCTTTACTATACCTTGGTTATCTTGGTTATCTTTACCTTACGAAGTCAAAATCAAGAACCTGCTTCCTGCTGTCATTACTGAAAAAGATTGAAACTTTAGTACGTGACCTTTTCCTTCTGGGGCTCGTGAAAGGCTTGTTTGGATGCCAGCCTATAATGGAGATTGCTTGGATAATGCTAAATGCAAAGTAGCTTAAACCCTGGTTTTGTGCTGGGTCTTGTAACGCAGATGGTAATATAATGGACTAACTTTTTGCCACTCTTCTTCGCAACCTTTGTTTAGTTGCTGAGGACAAAATCACCTGTTATCTTCAACTTGGAGCTGTCTCTCGGTCCTAACATCCAGTCTATATTTGTCTTCTTTATTGTTTCTATATAATCTCTCTAAGGCTTAGTCTTTTAGGCCTGTACATCCAAACAGTTAAAACCCCTGTTTAGATTTTCGTAGTCTCTCTTTCCATTTGCTGCAACATCGTTTTCTCTAGCTTTCACAAGTGTCATTTTGGCCTGCTCGTGCTTATCCCAGGAATTACTTCAGAGGTCACCTGCATAGCCTATTGCTTGAACCATTTGTGTCTTTCCTTCCCTCCTGTCTTTTTTTTTTAAATCTCATGTAATGAAAGCTTTTCACTTCATTACATAGCCTATTCTCTCCCCATCCATCATCTTTCTGTTTGCTATCAAAAAGTTAACTCCTGCC